AAACAACGGGGAATGAGTCAGGGAGACTCAATGAGTAAATTCACTAACACTCGTGCAGGATGATGCCTCGTCATTCTACTAACGCATACAAATATTTTCCCCGCCTTATGTCAATGGTAAATCAATAGCAAAGACTTTGACCTTGCCCTTGCCCTTGCTATGTTCACATGGAAGCTCACTGTTATCCGGCCACATAAATTCGGCTTATCGAGAAACACACATACACATATAGAATTCATTTATCACATACCGACACATATAGAATTCAATTATCGTCATCCTGGCTCAACTAGGGTATCCTGGCTCAACCAAGGTATCTGGGCTCAACCGATGCATCCCGGGGCTAGCTCACCCGAGGCATCCTGGCTCAACCAAGGCATCCTAGCTCAACTAAGGCATCCCGGCACTAGTTTACCGAGGCATCCGGGCTCAACCCAAGCATCCTAGCTCAACTAGGGCATCCCGGCGCTAGTTTGCCGAGGCATCGCCGCCAACGCTATGTGACGACAGTTTTCTTCTTTCATTTAATGATGACACATCATGGATCACACAAGCCGGTTTATTATCTTGATTTCATTAGTCCATGTAATCAAGCCCAAAGGCATGCCGTGCTTGTGTAATCATGATCTCTAAGACATTTGCCTAACATGTGGGTCGCGGTCGAGGGCACGTGGCTCGGTCCGCCATGCCGAGCGCCGGCTCGGAGCCGAACTTGGCCCGAATCTACACACCTCAATGTAAACCCGAACCAAGTCGAACTCGTCCCGTGACGCCACAACATGAGTACAAGACCATACGACACCCCGTTTCGTGACTCGTGTATGCCTTGACTTACGATCATGAAGCAAAACAATAAGTGCTCATGCAAACATCGAGCATCGCAAACACGGTCACTACTCGACCCAAACAAGCAACACCACGTCCTATCCTATTATAAAGCAACAAGCATGGTTACAAACGATGCGTACAACATTGAGACAAACAACAACAAGCAAATCTCAACAAAGGCTTGGGTGAGAACTCAAGCCAATAACGCATCATAACTTCCTATCCGAGATTAGGGAATCCACTTACATGCCGCGTTCCAACCACATAACACACCGTCCTATCCAAGTGTTAGGGAATCCACTCACCTATAATCACAAGAAAACGTCTATGGCGGTCGGCGGCGTCAAATGGCGAGGCGTGAGGGTGAGAATGAGAGATGAGAGATGAAGTGGTGTGTATTTGGGATAGTGAGCCAAGAGGGGCTCCTCTATTTATAGGTTCTTCCTAACTTGTTCCCCAAGTCTATAAGTCAAACTTGCTCCTCAAGCTTTGACTCTCTCTAGAATTCTCCAACTTGTTTTCCAAGCTTTGATTTTCTAGAATTCTCCAATTAAAGCTTGGCATAGCTCATTTGAAGGCTAAGAATGTGCACATTAAATCACTAGAAGACATAAATTCGAAATTCCAATGTTCTCATATAGAAATTGATGAATCCTTGAAATCTGGCAAAATCGGCAAGTTTTGCACTGTTCACAAAATCGGACTTGAAAACATAGTAAATGAACTCCGAAAATTCTCAAATTTAAATATGTCATAAAAAAGGCATTAACAAACATTTTACATGAAGAATACAAAATCTGAATCTTTCTGTAAATACAACTTTTAGTGGCTCAAAGACAGACTAAAAACAGTTCGCTGGAACACAATCTTTGATTATAAAAGTAAGCTCTTTCCAGAATCAAAATCATCTCAAAAAATTCCTAAATTTATATATGTTATAGAGAAAGAAGTCCTCAGCAACTTTGTGAAGGAAGTTTGTTCAAACTCGACCCAGGAAAGTTTTTAGAAAATCGAGAAAGTGTAAACATCACAGAAATACCCATTCTAGACAATTTTACGCAGTCCGAAATTAGGCTATCATACTACTCAAATCAAGTACAAAAATTTTGAAATTAAAGTATGTGAAACTTAATGATGTTTGAAGAAACTTTTAAGAAGGAATTATTTGGAAATTCGGATCACAAAAGTATCCACAAAAATAACAAAATAAAGAGGTACTAGGGATCCGAAACTGGATTTTCCAGAACAAGAGTAAAAATTGGTTCCAATTGGAAAACTACCAAACTTAAATCATAGTCATTTGCCAGGGACTGAAATTGAGGATGTTACAACTCTGTCAGCTTAGGGTGATGGAAGTCAATGTCTCTCTAAAAGCCTTGAAGACCATTATAATATGTTTCATTGGGCCCTTCGGCTTGTCTCATTTTAGTCACACGTCTTTTCAAATGATACATTTGAGAGGTATGAGTTCATAAAAAAAATTGTATTAATCAAATCTCATACCATTTTTGCGGTTGGATGACGAATGAAATTTCTTATTAGGGTCTGGTCCATGGAATCAACAACCATCCTTACACAATTGCATTTTCAGTTCTCCATTTTCTAAAGGTTGGATCTATCGGTTGAGGCTCTAGGAAGTCTCCATTGATATATCACTACTTGTCTTTGCCAGATATATACATCTCAACAACTTTGGCCCAAAAGGCATAGGTGATGACGTCTAAATTAATGCCAACCAGTGCAGCGGATGAATCGTTGTTTGATGCCTAGGTTTGACTAGGGTTCTTCTGCAACTTTCTGGGTCAAGACCCGTGTCGTTCAGGTCGTTAAGTTGTCAAGGGTGGCAGTTGTAGAAGAACCCTCGCCGTGTTGCTGGTGTGCCACCAAATCAGTTGGTTCTGTCATAGTTTCTGATAAGGTCTAGTTCCTCCCTTTTCTAATTTTTGAGTCGATGTTTGATCATAGCAAAAAAGCCTTAGGATCTCTGCTCTGATACTATGATTTACAAAGATGTTTCTCTCTCTTCTATATTTCTTTTCTGAATGAATACAAAAACATATATGATTGCATAGAGAAAAAAACTACTAAAGCTATTCTAGGATATGCACAATCTTAAGCTAAGAATCTAGTGGATCCTCAAAATAAGGATATCATACAACACAAATTTAGCAACTAATCAATCCTACAACTTCTCTAGTTAGTCTTAGTTGACAACTCACGCCAGCATTAACTACTTTATTTAATCATCGTCCTCCTAAGAGTATAATAAACAACTTTTTCTTGTGCATCAAAGTTAGCAAGGTGCCATTTTCTTCATTTTCCGTTAACGGTGTTGAAATAAGTAGATTTAACTTATGTTCACATGGGCGAGAAACAAGGGAGTGTATTGGCTATGACACTTTCTAGGGGTTCGGTTTAGGGATTGTGTCTTGAACATAAAGCATATTTAAATTAGTAAAATTCTTTATTATGACGTGTATTAGTTTGGATGGTAACCTTAAATTAGGCAAGGTAACTAACAAAGGAGGCATGAAAAGATAGTGTAGAAGATCAACTTATAACCACGCAAATTGGAATTGGGCTGGTTAGTCTAGGATATTGTAGACTTCTTTCGACTTCCCGGTATCGTTCCCTTAGGCAAATGGGCTCACATCAAGTGTCTATCAATAATCGTTACATATAAGATCTCGTATATGAACCACTATATCCTTTAGATCACATGTGGTGCTTATATCGTCCCATATGATTCCACATTGTGATTAACCGAGTTGACGTAATCACTTACGAAATAATTCAAAATATATAACTTGACTAGGATATGCATACAAGTTGATTGCAACCGTTACAAATCCATGCACATGCGGCAATTGGGGCAGATTGAGCTAGTGGTAGTACCGACCACCTAAGTAGGTCACAGAGGTGTTTGTATTGATAGGATGTAGGACCATATAACCTACAAACATATGGTCAATCTTATTCTACGTGGTGAACATACTGATTATATGAAATAGGTGGAATTTATTTTTTTTAAGTAAGATGATACGATAGTCCAAATATGATCATCCTTCAAAAAACAAACTTGCATATCTCGTTACATCCTATACATCGGTATTGAAAGTGTGAGGTTTCGGGCTTGAAGATCTATAAAGGTGAGGTAGGGGGTTGATGGCGAAGGATGGTGATGGGATTTGTTGGAGATGGAGGCTAGGATTCGTGAGAGAGTTTGCGGGCTTGGGCATTTGTAAAGGAGGGTAATTTGGTCATATAATTCTAAGGGTTTTGTCTAGAGGTAGCAAACCGGTATAAATTCAAGTAAAGATATGAAATTGGTCATTGAAAAAAAGATCGAAATTAGTACCATTCCAAATGTAAAAGATAGACCATCTTTGTTAGAACTTTCAAAATAAATTATGGCACATTTCAACTCTATAACTAGGTACATAAGGAAAGGCTCAACCCAATCTAGATTATGTTATATGAAAATTCATATTTTGACTAAGATTAAGGCTAAACAAATCAATCAGTGGACCATTGGGTAAATCTTTCCAAAAGCAGTTTGGCCAAGTGTCAAACTTCAACCGAAGCAGATCTACAAAAAGTAAAATCGGATCAATCTGTGGGGACATGTAGTGTAGCCTTTAATTGCGGGTAAGTAAAAGAAAAATCTATTTAGGTTAATATGATTCTGCTAACACAGTCTTCAGTAGTAAAAATATCGATATAGAAAAAATTAATGTTTCTAATACATCCATTGTTATCATGTCATGTATGCACTGCTATCAGTACGTTAAAAATTCATTATTCCTTCTTTTATTATACTTCACAAGTGACTCAAAAGCAGTTGATCAAAATTTTTACATCTTTCATAATCAAACAGAGCTTTTAGGAGTAATGTGTACTTGGTACCCCTCTTTAATTGAAGATCTGCTGTGTCTTTTCTAAATAAGCAAGTCATATCTAAGCACTTCGATAAACACTTGCTGCATGCCATTTTCAAATTAATGGTGCAAATTAACTTTGTATTTACGTCTTTCATTAACTATTAATCATATTCCAGTCACGCAACTATGTTGGCTGAGGGTTTAGAAGTATGAACAAATTCTTCGTGCTTGCGGGACATGGCAATGTTAGATTGCAAAGAGGACACTTAGAAGAGTTTAACAAAGGAAAGCTCACGACTAGCAAGTACTCAGCATATATTAACGTAGGCATAGTCAAAGGAAATGCCCAAGCAAAGTACAAACATCCTATATTGCATGGAACACAAATAGCCAACCTGCTAACACGGTAGTACCAGATACTCTATATGGACCAACTTTTGTTGGAACGCGTGATGAGCACACGACATATACATTCATTGAAGAACACACACTCAGTCCTTGGTGGGGGGCTTGTGCGGTGGCTTGTGGTGGTGCGGCTTCTCTCCCTTGCCCTTCTTCGGCTCCTCGCCTTTCTTCGGTGGCTTGTGCTCAGGGAACGGCTTCTATTTTTCATCGGCTACCACTTCCTTGGCAAGTATGTGGCCGGGTTGGTGGGGGTGGTGGTGGTGGGGCGGTTTCTGTTAGAAATTAAACTAAATTTGCTGGTACTTGTTTCTTTTGTGAGTCTGTTCGTATTTTCATTTTTCGTGTTTTTAGGTGAAATAATTGCTTTTAGAGGTGTGGTCAGATATTAAGAGATATGGTTAGATATTAAAAGATAATATGAGATATTGTGAGATATTCTTTTTAGCTATATTTTAGGAAAGATAAGGGTCACGTAACTTTTCTTTAAATAGGGGAGTCTTGTAATTTTTTTATTGGGGGTGAAATCTGAGTGAAATATACTGAGTTAGAAAATTCTATCTATCCTCTTCTTTTTTCTGTGTGAGTTGCGATCGTTTCACCTTCAAAAAATTTCTTCCATCAAATTAATGTTGTTGTTGCGCCTTTGACGCTCAACAAATTGGTATTAGAGCTTACGGTTCGTGATCATGGCCTCAACGAACAATCAGCTTCCTCTTTAATACCATCGTCTTACCAAAGAAAATTATGGTAACTGGGCTGTTAGAATGCAAGCTCTACTCGGCGCCTACGGTGTGTGGGAACTTGTTAACATTGGCTCTGATGAGCCACAGGATGAAGCCACGTTGAACCAGAACCAGAGGAATGCCTTGGAGAAGGTTCGAACGAAAGATCAATATGCCTTGTTGATCATCTATCAAGCGTTAGATGATTCCATGTTCGAAAAAGTTTCGAACGCCACTACCGCTAAAGAGGCATGGGAGATTCTTCACAACACATATCAAGGAGTTCAGAAAGTTCAGAAGATTTGCCTTCAAACCTTGAGAGGCGAATTCGAGATAATTCATATGAAAGAATCTGAATCGATTACTAATTATTTCACAAGAATTTTAGCAATTGTTAATCAGATGAAAAGAAATGGAGAAGACGTTTCCGATGTTCGCATTGTCGAGAAAATACTTCGGTCCTTAGACAAGAAGTATGATCATATTGCGGTTGCAATTGAAGAATCCAAAGACTTGGATGCCGTGACGGTCAATGAACTTATGGGTTCATTACAAGCCCATGAAGAAAGGTTTAGAAGGAAAAAGATTGAACTGATGGAGGAAGTTCTCCAAACGCAGTTGACCATTCGAGATGAGAAAGAGCAAAGAAGAGATCCAATACAAAATTGCGGGACAAATCAAAATCGTGATCGAGGTCGTGGCCGAGGTCACTTTCGAGGAAGAGGTCGTGGACGAAGCAGAGGAGATCTTGCTCGAAGTGATGGAGGATACCAGTACCAAAGAGGTGTTCGTGGAAGAGGAAAGAACTCGACAGACCAATGGTATGATAAATCTAAAATCCGATGTTATCATTGCAATAAACTTGGCCATTATGCTTCTAATTGCTGGAACAAAGAAAGTAGCAGAGCAGATGAAAAGGCGAACTTGGTGAATGATGCTGATCAAGTTCTCTTATTGGCATTCAAAGAAGATGAAGAAGGTCAACGCGATACGTGGTATTTGGATACCAACGCAAGCAATCACATGTGCGGGAGAAAGGAGATGTTTGCCGTGTTAGATGAGACAATTAAAGGGAATGTCTCATTCAGTGATAACTATAAAATTCTTGTCGAAGAAAAAGGTACAATTTTGATTCGCTTAAAGAATGGTGCACGTCAGGTTATTACTAATGTTTATTATGTTCCAAAAATGTCAAGCAACATCTTGAGTTTGGGACAACTTCTGGAGAAAGATTATACTGTTCATATGAGAGATCTTAATCTTATGTTGAGATATCGGAATAATAAACTTGTCACGCCCCGAACCCTACGAGCACGCGATCATCCCTCCGAGGTTGTAATGTATGCGACATCCCAGGACTTGTCACCGATCCAAACCAAACACTAACAAATACCATAAGCGAAAGCAAATGCAAACTCTCCATACAACATACAATTTAACGGGATAGTTAGGAAAACACTTCACATAAAAACTTGCAAGTCACTTACAAAAACTCACAATGTTAACCCTAGGAAGTTTACACACTTACAAGCCTCACACGAGGCCACTTCTTAACGAGGCCACAGACACAAAAGAGAGGTTAACTTAAACTTTTCTACAACAGGGCATCCAAAAGGATGATAAATTCAATGCCCAACATCACCCCAAAACTCCGAACCGTGTGTGACGACTACTCGTCATTCGAAGCCTGAAAATGTTTAACAACGGAGGATGAGATATATCTCAACAAGTAACTACCTAAGCCTCGCTTAGACTAACGCGTACCTCCAAACAATCCTAATCATGCAATATCGACATCCAACATGTCATAACAATCACAGGCGCCCTTACCTCGCCTCGGCACATACGCAAGCCCTGCACATTAGAATCCCGCCATAACATGACCAATTGCTCATCAAGCTTGTACAACGCAATTCAAGGAATAATTATGCATAACATGGTTAATAACCCAGACATGATCAACATTAAACTCAATCATGGTATTCTCCAATGCATGGCACACATTTAAAGATGTCGAGATTATTAATAACCTGCGTAACACATATCAGGTCCACGGCATAGCCCGCATAAAACGCATCAGGCTGGCCGTCTTCTGGTGTAACCAGGCATCGTCCCGCTACGTCGGCGATGGCAACATCCCGCATTAAAACGCATCAAGACGGCATTCCATGAGGAGCATCAATCCGGGCCTCCACCGGGCATATGATAAATCGAGCATCGTCTTGCATAAAACGCATCAAAATGGGTTGAATCCCCACGTAAAACGCATTAAGTCATTATATGATCACATAAGCATTCAAGCACTCAAACCAATTCTCATCTTTTCAATTAGCCACAAGTCACTAACTCCGCACTTATCCAACAAGATGCCACGATAACACCGAATAGTCCCCGAGAGAGAGAAAATCGGAATTGCACACATTCGGGCTATTCTGGGCAGTTTGCACAACAACCGAAATCTCTTTGAAACAAATAGTAATTCAACTCCAAAAATTCTGAATTTTGGATATGTCATACAAAACATCTTGATAAACATTTTCCATGAGGACATTAAACCCAGTTCCGACTGTAAACATCTCTTTTTGTCACTTCAAGTCAGAGGAAATTCAACTCAGTCGGACAGGCCGCCTGACCATTAAAATACATTTCATTTAGTACCCAAATAACTTTGGAAAGCTATGAAATTTTTATATGTCATAGACACAAATGTCCTTAACAATTTTTGTGAAAGAAGTTTATTGAAATGAGGCCTGAAAATTTTTATAAAAATTCAGAAAGACAAGAAGGTCGGGTGAACACTAATTCCTGCAGTTTTGTAACGGTCGGAAAATGAACTTCCAAATGGCCCCAAATGATTTCCAAAAATTCCAAATTTAATTTATGTTATACTTCAAGATGTTGGGAACAATTTTCATGAAGAACACTTCCTCAAATTTTGCCCACACAAGTCTCCAAAAAAATAAAAATACACAGGGTGTTCTTCATGAAAGTGGCTTAGGGAGGTAGCAGCAACTCCAGCGGTGAACTGAGCTCACAGTAGCTGGACGGGCGAGCGCTGGCACTCACGGCGGCCGAACAGTGGCTTAGGGAGGCGGGCGAAGCTGCTGGCCAGCTGGAATGGAGGGCGAGAAGCAGCAGACACCAGAGGAAGCAAAAGCCGAAGAAGCAAAGAAGAAACAAAAGGGAAGAGGAAGCAGCAACAACATGGGTTTAGCAGTGGAAGTCAGTGGCAGAACAGAAACAGAAGCAGAAAACGTGAAGTTCATCATGAGGAGTGGGTGGAAGAAGTCAGCGGAAGAGGGAGTCAGCGGGAAGGTCAGCAGCGGCGTGGGGGTTCAGCGGGGGAGGAGGAAGAGAGAGAGAGAGGAGAGAGGGGTGGGTCCAATGATGAACCCCACCAAATATCCTCCAATTTTCTCTTTTCTTTTTGCAATTTTCTCAAATTTTTCCCCCAAATTACCACTTTTCCGATAATTCCGATCGACCCAATAATTGGCCATGCTTAATGAGACAACGTCCGAGAAATTTGTCGTGGAAATCTTGAAACTTCGATACCCAATTCGGATTCTAATCAATAGCCAAATTCAATTGAACGCGCCTTTAGTGTATCTTGAACTAACGGGCGGCTTTTAGGAATTTATGTGTATCGACCTGTGGTCGATAAAATATCGAGCCACATCTAAGTTTACTCGAGCCATGGTGACCTCGGTTGTCATGTAATTGCGAGGGTCAATCACTAGTTCTGAATGACGCGATATTTCGGATTAGGATTAGGATCATTCGAAATTCATACAATGGTCAAGCGGAATCACCCGCGATCCAATTGCACAACATTTGCGAATCGTTTCATAACCATCATTGGATCGACCTTTAATGGCCCAAAATATTCCCCGCCAATTCTTATGGTCGAAGTGTCAATCCATGACCAAGTTCTTAGGTCCACGTACTTAATTCCTAGCTAGCCATTCCCTAACGGTTAGTCTACTCGAGAGTGATCAATTCCGAGCGAGATTTAACTGAAAGCGCATTGAAGAAATATTCATTTCATAAATCTCGAAAATGGGTCGAAATTCAAAATGTCACAACTCTTCCCCCCTTACAAAAATTTCGTCCTTAAATTTACAACCAAACTACACTACTCAAACAAATAGGGGTGTTGACGCCTCATGATTTCTTCACTTTTTCATGTGGCCCCTTCCATTCCGTGATGCTACCATACGACTTTAACTAACAGGATTGTGTTGTTTCTCAACACCTGTTCCTTTCTA